CCCCAAAACCCCAAAACCCCAAAACCCCAAAACCCCAAAACCCCAAAAGTAATATTATTTATTGAAATATGAAATCTGGAATTATCAGCTACAGAGATAAGGAAGGGAATCCACTCCCGTTCTCAGATCTCAAGAATAGGGTGCTATATATAGATGAAGGACACACTGTTAAAGAAGATACTTCAACAGTTGTGAGAAACATCTTCTCTATTTATAGGGAATATCTGTGGGATTCCTACTCTATCAACCGCTTTTGTTCATACCCTATTTACTTTGCAGCTTCAGAAGCTATTTTCTACATGCCTAATTTCTTTAAGATGAAGGTGATATAATGGACCCTAGTAGTTTTAATCACAAATTAGCCTCTGCAGTGACGACAAATATCGATCATTATATGGGGCATTCGAAGTTGATACAGCAGAAAATTCCAAAATTTAGTTACATCTACAAGGGAGTTTTGAGCACTTCTATTCCTTACACATTTGCTAACTGGGGCTCGAGGCTGTTGATATTCACTAATCTCAAGAGATCGTACGACTCCAGTCTTATGCAATGTCTAAACTATTATTTGACAGCTTTTGTAGCAGGATTTGTAAGCTCCTTAGTGACAACTCCTTTATGAAAGATGTATTACTCTAATCATCACTTACAAAGTGTTGGGAACATTAATTTCACTTTCAGAACTATCTATGATGCTATTTTTATTGAGACAAGGTACTCTAATCCAAGAAAGACTTTCTACCAGAAACTTCAGATCTGGTATAAACATGCTCTAGTAATAGCTCTGAGAGGAGGTTTCCAGAGCACAATCCTGCTTGGCACATTTTCTTTTATTGGTAATAGAAGCACAATTCAAGGAACTGAGAAAGAATCTGAGACTGAGGTAGCTGAATTTATTACATCAGATAACCCTCTATTACAAAAACTGAAAAATTTGAACACTTATGCTTCTTTATTGTCGGATAAAGCAGACTACTATCGGGCTACATTGAAGGCAAGTCTTTATGTAGCATCATTCGGAGCAGTTTCTTTATCTTTCTTTGATCTTGTCTTTGGAATTCTCCTCAAGGATTCGATCATTCATAAGAAAAATATCAATTTGCAAGCCTTGAAGCAAATAAAAATAAACAATTTAGTAGGTAAAAACTTGGTTATTTTGGCTATTCCTAACTTCATGAGGTATTTTGCCCTCCTTTGGACCTGAAGACTGATCGAGCCAGATTTATTTAATTAATATCCACCATTCGTTCAATGTTTTCTTATAAAATTGGGGTTTTGGGGTTTTGGGGTTTTGGGGTTTTGGGG